TGCAGACATGACTGGTATTAAGACTATCTCTTCCGGTGGTGGCATAACATTCTTCTTATCAAACGATGGATTTATTAAGTTTTGTGGTCGATATAGGAATGAAAACAACGATTATTTGATGCAAATATCATCAAAATTATTAAATACTGATAAAAAATTTACAGAAATGAATGCAATTATCTCATATAAGGATATCATGTGTGGGTTTAGAGCTATAATGAATACCAAAATATATAAGATTACAGACACACCAAACGATTGTATAATTGGAACAATTTATACAAATTTCTTCGACTGTTTTACAAATAAGTTTCAAATGACTCATAAAACCATTGATTTGTGTGATTATAAAGAATATAATTATAAGAATTGCGAAGAATTTAGTGCAAAATGTTTGGATTATTTGGAAAAAGTATTTTCATCTATAAAAGAGATATCTAACAATGGTATGAATTGGTTTTAAGGGTCATTCATAAAGTTCTATAATCAGTCATTATTACATCTATGATTAGCACAACAATTTAAAATTAGTTAAGAAATAAAATTAACTAGGATATTTTAAAATATTCTCTTTTCTAATGCTAATTCCAACCTTAACTAAAATTTTATTATAAAAACATTGTCAAGCGATTAAAGCATATTTCTAAACAGAGTATTTTTTGGCAGTGGGTTTTATACGTTACTAACTTTTGTACCTTAGTTAAACTTGTTTTCACACTCAAAACATCTTTACTGATATTTAAAAAGTGTAGAACCAAACTATTTGATATTTAACCAGATTCTTAACTTAATTGTTAATAATATTACTTAATTATGAACTCAATGAATTTATTTTTTTAAATTTTATTACTTAATAATGTACTAAATTAACTTAATTATAAATTAAATTAACCTAATTATGGACTAAATTAAGTTAATTATAGATTAAATTTAAGTTAATTTACTCCACAATTAAATTAATTTAACTTATAATTAAGTTAATTTAGTTTATAACTAAATTAACTTTGTACTAAATTAACTTAATTACGGAATACAATTACTAAATTTTACATTATATTTACTTAATATTCAACCAAATTTAACTAATTATTAATTACGCTAAATAAAACTAAGTTAATTCAGCTCATAATTAAGTAATAGTATTAACAATTCATTTAATAAACTTAAGAATCTGGTTAATTTTCAAATAGTTTGGTTCAACACTTGTAAATTTTTAAATTTACATCAGTAAATATGTTTTGAATGTGCAAACAAGTTTAACTAGGGTACAAAGGTTAGCAACGTATAAAACATACTACCAAAAAAATACTCTGTTTATAAACAAATATTAATTATACTTATGCAAAAATGAATAATAAACCGTATAATTAATTAGTCGTTAGTAAGCTTCTGACTAAACCTCCCCTCACTTCTGAATACGTACTTTTGAATAACATTTTAACAAAACTGAATGAATGAATAAATTTATGTAATTTGTTTTATAGATGTTTCCGAGGTGAATCATTACAAACGTTTGTACGAAGAGTTGTATCGATTAGGTTCGGGAGCTTTTGGGGAAGTATTTGTTGTTAAAGCAAAATATAATGGACAAGAATATGCGGTTAAGAAAATAAGATTTGAAAGTAATTTTATGACATTTTGATATAATATACTTATAATAACTATATCATTATTTAAATGTTTAATACTCTATTTGTAAATTATAAACATTTGTCGAAATTTTTAGTAAAATATTGGTTTATAATTAATACACTTACAGATGATGACAATTTACGGGAATGTATGCAAGAAATGCAAAAATTAATAAAAGTTAGGTCAGAATATTGTGTCCAATACAATGATCAGTGGGATGAAGACAATGTATATTACATTCAAATGGAGTTGTGTTCCAACAGTCTGAAGAATATTCTTCAACACAAACCACAAGTATTTGGTCGACAAC